TGATATCATCTCACTCAACGATAATACTCCAACTGGTACTTGGAGGATCATGATATCATCTCACTCAACGATAATACTCCAACTGGTACTTGGAGGATCATGATATCATCTCACTCAACGATAATACTCCAACTGGTACTTGGAGTATTACCTCTCCTCATTCCATACCGTATGTGACGTCACCAGTAATCCGGTGTAGTTTAAAACAAAACTTTTCTAAACCTAAATGCGACCAATTATAAGAAATAAGACTAAATGTCCGTGATATACTATAACTTTTAATGTTTATTTTCACATTCATAATTATAATCATACAATCACAGATCCGTTCATCTAAAACTCAACCCGGAAAGTATAACACATTAAAAGCACAACGTAAAAAGAATAAGCACTATAAATAACAAAGAAATTAAGAAATATACCTAGAAACAAAATGAAATAGGACGACTTAAGAGAGAACAGTCGGATAATTGCTTCTCAAATTTAAACTGTTTTATTTTGAACGTTTCAATTTAGATGCTAGCTAGATGGAGCTGCTAATAATGATGATGTAATGATCGAGAGATTTGGCGAAATATCGAGAAATAAGAACACGGTTATAAATGCGAGTATGTAGTTAAAGTGAGTGTGAGAATCAGTTGTTTCAGTGATTGAGAAGTTAATGAAACACTGCGATCAATGTGAATTATCGCTTATATTCAGTTATTCGATCGATTAGCCGTGAAATTTTACAGATTTATCTGTATGCTAGTCGTAATAACATTAGTGAGTAAATTTTGCGTTGAAAGTAAAAACATTATTTGTGTACAAGTTGAGTGTTAATAAATGTATTACCAATGTTTAAAATAATGCCTAATTACTCACACCCATTTTTCCCTATTACCTCAAAACATTTGATAATTATATTTGAAATAATGCTTCATTACTCACTCCCTTTTCCCTATTTCCCCAATAAAATTAACAGATTACAATTCGAGCGTACATCTGGTTATGCTAGGCCTAATTCGATATGCTTACAAATATGACCACTAGGAGGAGTCTTTTTATTACAAACAATAAGATAGGAAGAAATACGACTGTTATAGTATAGATATGGAATAGAGATGTAGGTGTTCGTATTTATCTTCTCAATCGAATTTTACAACAAAATATACAAGTCTAAAATACTTTAATTTCTAATTTATTAAAAAGCGTTATTAGTGAAGAGGATTTTCAAACTTTTTGTAGAAGCTATGAAGGAAAAACATCAGCTTTGTCAATCAATAAAAATAAAAAATGTATCAC